GTGGAAAAAATGAGAGGACGAGAAAAGCACACCATCCGTTCCTGTGTTTGTCTCCATGTTACTCATCATCTGGAAGCAAATGACTGTTGTATTTAAGTGTTACCTAAAATGTCCCTTTAAACACAGTGCCTGTCTGTTGTCAGGCCTGTTGTGCCATACAGCTCTGGACTCAAGTTCAGATGTTAAGTGTTGGAACCTTCCAGAGCCTGAGAACAGACAGCACCTGGCGGAAGGGAAGATGCTGAGATTTCTGGCAATGGAGTCCTAAGGCCACAGGCTTGTTGGGAGCCAAGGTGGCTTGAGACCACCTATGGATCTCTTGTTCTCCAGGGACAAGAATGCTAGATGGGTCACACCCGAGTCTTCAGGACCTGGTTGGAGAGCTTTTTTTAGGACTAGTATATTTATTTCTTCCTCAAATAGATTTTATTGCCTGTGAGCAGTCCGGAAAGATAACCACTATGTAAAAACAGACTGTGTTGACAGCTTCTCACCTGTCTTGAGCACTTGATAAGTGTTTGTTGGCTGAAAAAAATGGATGAATACTTAATTTTAATGGATCTCAGGTCTTGTCTTCCCCCCCATGCTTCATGGAGGTTAATGGGCTAGTTGGTGCCATTGTTCATTGTTTGATCCTCTGGAATTGTTGCTAGGATAAGTGACTAATAATTAAATACTAACTAATGTGGTCTAGACCGTGAGTGTGGGCATTTAGGAGAGAGTGTACAGTGAGTTAGACCAGTTGGGTAAGTTGTTAAAGGAACTGAGGCTTGAACAGAGATTTGAAAGATGGTGGAAATTTGAGAGAAGGTGTGTGAGAGAGACATTCAGAAGGAGAGTGTCAAGCATGACGCCTGGATATTGGGGTGGATGAGAACGAGGAGGTGGGTGAGGACGAGGGGATGGGTAAGAACAGGAAGGCCATTTAGGGACCCAGCTCAATTAGAGGAGGGTGACAGCTTCTGGAAGGCTGGCCTTTCAGATCAGCCCCCTCCTGAAGTGATTTGGGGCCATCCCCCTGTCCCAGCCACCGGACTCTAACCCCCACCTCTCTCTTGCACTGCCTGTGTTATGCCATACCTCGTCTCTGAAGTCAGCTGGGTGCTTCCATCACCTGGAAGTCAGGCCTTTGGAAAGAGTTTCTAGGGGCTCCAGTCATTGGTGCTCCCGTCCCTTCTGGAAACAGTGCATGCTGCCCCCAGGCCCCTGCCTCCATGTTGTCCTCTGGGGTAGCCTCCTTGTGTGGTTTTGTGGGCCCAAGGGGGTGCCAGAGTTGAGGAGCTCGGGGCCACGCTCTGCCCCTCCTCTGTTTCCCATTATGTTTCTGCATTTCTTTTTCTCTGTCAGCCTCCTGGACTGCGATTGAGCATTCTCTCTTGAAGCTTGGAGAGATCCTGGCTGGTCTCAGTAACCCCCAGCTCCGGAGCCAGGCTGAGCAGTGTGGCACTCTTATTAGGAGGTACCGGCTCCCATGATGGTGACGGAGGCAGAGAGGACGCACCCTTGGGTGTGGGGGAAAGATGTGGTGTGTGGCCCTATCCCCTCTGTTCTTACCTCCACCTCCCCCAAACACTGTCCCCTATGTTTGTGCTCCCTCAGCATCCCCACAATGCTGTCTGTGCACACGGAGCAGCCGCATAAGACGGGCTTCCCTACTGTCCACGCCTTGGTCCTGCTTGAGGGGACCATGAACCTGACAGGAGAGACACAGCCACTAGTGGAGCAGCTGATGATGGTGAAGCGCATGCAGGTGGGCAGGGCTGAAGGGCTCTCTTTTCCCCGAGGGGGCCTGGTCTTTGGGGGCAGGAGGGAGGAGTCTTTTGGTCTTCCTCGGGAGGAGCAGGGCTTCTCCCGCTGCATGGTGGACAGTGGATGGCATTTGTGCTCGCTCCTCTTGTTGGACCTTGTATGCCTGGTTCTTGGCGCAGAGCTGGGTGGTGGCCCTGCTTCGTAGCCTCTGACCCATTGGGACCCCCGGGATCTGCAGAAGGAGCGGGTATGGGCACCCTCTGAGGCCTCGCCCTCGGACCTTCCCACAGCACATCCCCACTCCACTTTTTGTCCTGGAGATCTGGAAAGCTTGCTTCGTGGGTCTCATTGAGTCTCCCGAGGGCACAGGGGAGCTCAAATGGACGGCGTTCACCTTCCTCAAGGTACCTGGGGACCCAGGAGTGTCAAGAGCCAGGCTAGGAATGGTTCTTAGGAGGAGCAGTGACACTCTGGGCTTTTGCCCTGTTTCCCCCTGCTGGTGCTGTGCTCAGCCTGCCAGGTTCCCCAGGGCGAGTTCGCATTGATTCTTTTCTCTGGAAGTCCCAGGACTGTGTGTAGCCCACTTGGCAGGACTCTGTTATTCTGACCACAGAGGTGCAGCTTAGCTCAGTCATCAGCCAGCTTAGTGTGGGACAGTTCAGGGAGCCAGGGAAAGGGGGCCCCAGTCCTCCCTGAAGCTGGGATTCTGCTTTTGCTTATGGCACTTATTTGTTGAGCTAGCAGAGGGGCGGGGTCCCTGTGTCCTATAGGCCAGAAAGCACTTGTTGGCTTTCTGATCCAGCTCTGAGAATATTTTCCTTCCAGGGCAGGAGTGTTCCCATCTCTCTGCCCAGAGCAAGGGGGCAGGGGAGGGATGTCTTCAGAGGTAGGTGAAAGAAAAGAAGCTGATCTTCCTACTCTCCCCCTACCTTCCCCCCTAGATCCCACAGGTTTTGGTGAAGTTAAAGAAATACTGTCACGGGGACAGGGTGAGTTAAAGAATTGAGACGGGGGTGTGAGAGCAGATGAGGGTATTTCTGCCCTGAGGAAACAAGGACAAGGGAAGGGCCCTTCAGGCACTCGCTTGGCAGTCTTTTTTTCTTTTCATTTTTCTTTTACTCTTTTATTTTTTTGTTTTTGTTTTTGAGTTGGCGTCTCACTCTGTCGCCCAGACTGGAGTGCAGCGGCCGCTCCCGGCCACTGCAGCCTCACCTGTTGGGCTCCGGCGATCCTTCCGCCTCAGCCTTCCGAGTGGCCGGAATTACAGGCACGCGCTACCACGCCTGGCTAATTTTTGATTTATTGTAGAGATGAGGTCTCGCCAGCCCAGGCGGGTCTTGAACCTGCGGGCTCAGGCAATCCACTCACCTCAGCCTCCCAAAGGCCCAGGATTACAGGCTGAGCCACCGAGCCTGGCTCTTTTCTTTTGAGAGACAGAGTCTCCTTCTGTAACCCAGACTGGTGTGCAATGGCACAATCATAGCTCACTACAGCCTCGCCTTTCTGAGCTCAAGCAACCCTCCTACCTCAGCCTTCTGAGTAGCTGGGACTACAGGTGTACACCACCATGCCTGGCTCGTTTTTTGTTTTGTTTTGTTTTTTGTTTTTGTCGAAATGAGGTCTTACTATGTTGCTCAGTCGTTCTTGAACTGGGCTCAAATGATCCTCCCGCCATAGCCTCCCAAAGGGTTGGGATTATAGGTGTGAGCCACTGTGCCTGGCAGTATTGTTGTGCCTGGAAGAAGACCAGAAGCGTGTGCATGTGCTTGAGAACCTGTGTGCACCCATGCACATGCACCCAGGCTTCAGACAGAGGCAGCCAGGCAGCTCAGGCCGGTGCCTCCAGCTGGCAGGGTTGCTTGAGGTGGTCGGGGCTGGGGTGGCCATGCTGAGAGCAGTGATGCTTCACACTTCTCTCTCCAGCTGCTGGGAACTGGAGGGTGGGAGGGTGCACAGCCAACTTGCCAGCTGTCATACAGCAGTGTCATGGGCCTGCACTGCAGGCTGTGGGAGGAGCGGAGGGCTAGAAGCCAGGTGGGTGTTTCTGACTCTTCACAGGACTTCACTGAGGATGTCAACTCAGCTTTTGAATACCTGCTGAAGCTCACGCCCTTGTTGGACAAAGCTGACCAGCGCTGCAAGTACGGATTCCTCTGCTCACCTCTGCTCTGTGGGAAGGTGTTCTGGATTCTTCCCCTGGTCTTCTGTGTCAGAGACACCTCAGGAGATGCGTCTCCTTGTTTGCTTCCCTTGGCAGGGGCAGGAAGCAGTGGTTGCCGAGTCCCCTGAGCCCCTCTACCTTCCCTTAGACCCTCCCCATATTCTTCACCATGAAGGAGGAAGGATGCTGGACAGGGCGCTCCCCACCCTAGCCAGATGCTCAGTTTCTCAGTGTCTTTCTCTCACAGCTGTGACTGCACAAATTTCCTGCTTCAAGAATGTGGCAAGCAGGGGCTTCTTTCTGAAGCCAACGTGGACAACCTCACGGCTAAGCGGTAAGTGTGGGCATACTTGGGCCGTCCCAGAACCCCCTGACCTTCCTCTTATGTCCAGATGGGCAGCTGGTTGTCTTGTCCCCTGCTGTCTGAAGTTTGGGTTGCAAGTGACTGGGACCCTGCATAAGGGCACAGGGGACAGGAGAGCACAGAAGACATGGATTTCTTCAGACCAGAGTTTCTGTTTTTTTTGTTTTGAGTTGGAGTCTCTGTCGCCCAGACTGGAGTGCAGTGGCCGCTCCCGGCCACCGCAGCCTCAATCTGCTGGGCTCAGGCGATCCTTCTGTCTCAGCCTTCCTAGTAGCCGGAACTACAGGCACACACCACCACGCCCAGCTCATTTTTGATTTATTGTAGATATGAGGTCTCACCAAGTTGCCCAGGTGGGTCTCGAACCCATGGGCTCAGGCAATCCACTCACCTCAGCCTCCCAAAGGCGCGGGATTACAGGCTGAGCCACCAAGCCCGGCTTGGCTAATTTTTGATTTATTGTAGAGACGAGGTCACGCCAAGTTACCTAGGTGGGTCCCAAACCTGTGGGCTCAGGTTTTTTTTTTTTTTTTTGGGTTGGAGTCCCACTCTGTTGCCCAGGCTGGAGTGCAGTGGCACACTCACTGCCACCGCAGCCTCAATCTGCTGGGCTCAGGCGATCCTTCTATCTCAGCCTTCCTAGTAGCCAGAACTACAGGCACACACCACCACGCCCAGCTAATTTTTTTATTTATTGTAGAGATGAAGTCTCACCAAGTTGCCCAGGCTGGTCTCGAATCCCTGGGCTCAGGCAATCCTCTCACCTTGGCCTCCCAAAGTGCGGGATTATAGGTGTGAGCTACCGCGCCTGGCCAAAGACCAGAGTTTTACATTCTTACTGGCCACTCTTTGACGCATACTCACCTTTGTGATCAAAGTAAGAATCTTAAATCTTCCTTTAGTCTTAAATGAACTTTCAAAGTAGATGTGATGACTAATGACAAATTGGAGTGACTGCAATATTGAATATGCTTTCATAAACTTCACTCCAAGGGCTGGGTACAGTGGCTCACTCCTGTAATCCCAGCACTCCAAGAGGACAAGGCAGGAGCCCAGGAGTTCAAGACCAGCCTGGGCAACATAGACCTTGTTTCTCTAAAAAGTTAAAAATTTAGCCAGGCGTGGTGGCTCATGCCCATAGTCCCAGCTACTAGGGCGGCTGAGGCAAAGGATTGCCTGAGCTCAGGAGGTCAGAGCTGCAGTGAGCCATGATCGTGCCATTGCACTCCAGCCTGGGTGGCAGAGCAATAGCCCACCTCAATAAACAAACAAACTCCAACTCCAAAGGTTCTTATATGTCTGCCACTTTCTCCCTGCTTCTGCTTCTGGGCTTGGGCTAGGTAGTGTGTCAAGAATTTCTCTCTGTTTCTCTTCCCTCTCTTGCCTACTGGTCATGGCCACAGCAAAGCTGACCGGGAACATGCCCCACAGCAGAAATCGGGAGAAAACGCCAACATCCAGCCCAATCCTGGGCTGATTCTCCGGGCGGAGCCCACTGTCACAAACATCCTCAAGGTGAATGTGCCCTTCTCTGACCACCACAGTTTTCTCTTTCTTCTTTCCAATTTTCCCTCTACCTCCAGATAAGCAGAGGCCACAGACTTCTCCTGGGCTTTTGTGTACAGTTGCTCTGGAAGTGGTGAAGGGGGAAGCAAGGGCAGCTACCCCTGAGCGCCTATCCCTGGGGGCTTTACTTGTACACCAGGCACTGTGGTGGGTGCTTTCCCTCAGGCCATCTCATATAGACAACAGAATCTCCCAGCCGAGACCTCTCCCCCCAGCCTCACCACTGTCATGCTGGTGGAGTTGAGAGGCTGGGACCAAAGAGCGAGGATAGGTTTCAGGAAAGATTTTCCACACTGAAGTCAGAAAGATAGAGATTAAATTACAGGTTGTGGAAGAGAGAAAATGTGGCAAGGCTGTCTCTAGGAAGGTGTCTCCAGTGTTCTCAGGACTTGATTTCCTATCCTGTCCCCAGACGATGGATGCAGACCACTCCAAGTCCCCAGAGGGCCTGCTGGGGGTCCTGGGCCACATGCTGTCCGGGAAGAGTCTGGACTTGCTGCTGGCTGCTGCTGCCGCCACTGGAAAGCTGAAATCCTTCGCCCGGAAATTCATCAAGTGAGGAAGGCCGAGCCCCTGACCATGGAGGGAGCGGGAGGCCATGTGTGGAGGGAAGAGGTAGCAGGGTAGGAATGAGGCACTTGGGCCTGGGTGTTGTCCAGAGATGCAGGGGTAAGGCAGAGCATCTGGCTAGAGATCACAGAGGAAGGACCTGTTCTCTCTCTCTTTTTTTATTTTTTTTTTTTGAGTTGGAGTCTCACTCTGTCGCCCAGACTGGAGTGCAGTGGCCGCTCCCGGCCACCGCAGCCTCGACCTGCTGGGCTCCGGCGTTCCTTCCGCCTCAGCCTTCCGAGTAGCTAGAATTACAGGCATGTGCTACCACGCCCGGCTGATTTTTTTATTTATTGTAGAGATGAGGTCTCGCTGCCTTGGCGGGCTCAAACCCATAGGCCCAGGCGATCCACTCACCTCAGCCTCCCAAAGGCGCGGGATTACAGGCTGAGCCACCGAGCCTGGCCTCTCTTTTTTTTTTTGAGTTGGAGTCTCACTCTGTTGCCCAGACTGGAGTACAGTGGCACACTCTCGGCCACCATAGTCTTGCCCTGCTGGGCTCCGGTGATCCTTCCACCTCAGCCTTCCAAGTAGCCAGACTATAGGCACACGCTACCATGCCTGGCTAATTTTTGATTTATTGTAGAGACGAGAGCTCGCCAAGTTGCCCAGGCGGGTCTCGAACCCGCGGGCTCAGGCAATCCACTCACCTTGGTCTCTCAAAGTGCTGGGATTACAGGCTGAGCCACCGAGCCCGGCCGGACCTGTTCTCGTGACCAGAAGTACTGCTCCCTCCTCAGCTGGGATGCCTGGTAGAGGGAGGAGGTGTTGGATGCTGGGCATGGAGGAGTTCTGAGGATGCCCAGGTATTCATATGGGGCTCTCAGATGCTGTTGCCTTTTGTGGTTGATCTGGAATTTGACATATAAGACATTGTTCTATTCAGTGAGCCATTCTCTAGACCCTGGAAATCTTCTAATGATAGAACTCCTTTTTCTGTAGCATGATGCTAATTTTAAGTTTAACCTGCAATTCAGACTCTAGGGACCACCTCTCTGAGCATGTGTAGCCCCTCCATCCCCACTCTGCACCCAGCTGTTGCCCTGCTCTTGCCCTGGTCGATGTAACCTGTCTCCATTCCTTTTACAGTTTGAATGAATTCACGACCTATGGCAGTGAAGAAAACAGTAAGTCAACACTGCACAGCCACAATCGCAATAGGCAGTAAGGTGGGGTGTGGAAGGAGAGGTGGGGAAGGGTGTGCTTCCTCCTCAGAGCTGTGACTGACTGAAGCTTTTGGGGAGCCTTGAAAAGGGTTAATGCCAGAAAAGGATTCTTCTAGAACCAGCCCTGTGTCTCCCTCCCTCCTGCCTCCCTTCATGGTTTTGTTGGTCATTGGGGAAAGGGGGACATTAGGTGTCTCTGATCCCAAGGAAGGAATGATGTTCCAATGGAAATCCAAGAAAAGGATTCTGAGCCTCAGCGTTTTGAAGGAGACGCTTGGTCCCTGACCTTCCTTGAGGCAAAGCCCCTCCCGACCCAGCAAGGGCTGGCCCTGCCCTTCGCTGAGCATTGAGCCTTCCTGTCCTTCCCGCAGCCAAACCCGCTTCAGTTCGGGCCTTGCTCTTTGACATCTCCTTCCTCATGCTGTGCCACGTCGCCCAGACCTACGGCTCGGAGGTGAGTGAGGGGCAGGCGGGCAGGATCGGGCCACGAGTGGGCAGGGCAAAGGGAAGGGAATAGTCAGTACTCTCCACTGCCTTACCCCTGTCCCCTGTCCGTCTCAGACCAAATTAGAAATCCCAAGGCCTTCAGCGCCACGCTCACAGTGACCAGTAGGTGGCAGCTCAGCCCCCTTGTCAGCCTCGTAGACCAATTTGTCCCTGGTTCTTTAGGCTGGGAGGGGAGTAGCAGCCTGGCAGGAAACTGAGGTGCAGTCCCAGGTGCTGCTCTGTTGGGTATCGTGCCCTCCCCACCCGCCTGGTGCTGCTCTTTTCCCCCTTCCCAGGTCATTCTGTCCGAGTCGCGCACAGGAGCAGAGGTACCCTTCTTCGAGACCTGGATGCAGACCTGCATGCCCGAGGAGGGCAAGATCCTGAACCCCGACCACCCCTGCTTCCGGCCCGACTCCACCAAAGTGGAGTCCTTGGTGGCCCTGCTCAACAACTCCTCAGAGATGAAGCTGGTGTCAGTGGCCTGGGCGCCCGCTCCAAGGGTGGCGGTGGGGCAGGGCCAAGAGCCTCTCCATCAGCTTGTCCCATGCTCCCCTGTGGTGATTTTTCTCCCACTCACGTCCTCCCACAGGCAGATGAAGTGGCATGAAGCCTGTCTCAGCATTTCAGCCGCCATCTTGGAAATCCTCAACGCCTGGGAGAACGGGGTCCTGGCCTTCGAGTCCATCCAGGTAGCCCCACCTCTCCAGCCACCTTATCTCCTCCCTGAGACACAGAAGCCGTCATTGATTGTTTGTAACCTTTTGTAAGGCCTTTAACCCAAGAGCTCCTGTTTTGGTGTTGATGTTGCCTGTAATCATAGTCTTAGCCACTCCCTCCCACCCAGGTAGCTCTGGGGACACCAAACTTGTGACAGAGAGAGGTATGGAATGTGGCCCAGGACTCCACTGCAGCACCTGGCTACCCACAGAGACTGGGAAGATGATGGCCAGGGAAGCAGGGAAGAGTGACCGGACATCCTTCTCTCCCTCCCCCAGAAAATCACTGATAACATCAAGGGAAAGGTGTGCAGTCTCGCGGTGTGTGCTGTGGCTTGGCTTGTGGCCCACGTCCGGATGCTGGGACTGGATGAGCGTGAGAAGTCGCTGCAGATGATCCGCCAGCTGGCAGGGCCACTGCACAGTGAGAACACCCTGCAGTTCTACAATGAGAGGTCAGTGCCCTCCCCTCCTCTCTCCAGCCCCGTAGGTGTGTTGCGAGAAGTCAGTGTGGCCTGTAACTAGTACCCCTCTCCTCTCCTACCTGCCCAAACACATGTTCACTCACTCGCTTCCTCCCTCATTTTCTTTCTTTCTTTCTTTTTTTTCTTTTGAGTTGGAGTCTCACTCTGACGCCCAGACTGGAGTGCAGTGGCTGCTCCCGGCCACCACAGACTCGACCTGCAGGGCTCCGGCGATCCTTCCGCCTCAGCCTTCCGAGTAACTGGAATTACAGGCGCGTGCTACCACGCCCGGCTGATTTTTTGATTTATTGTAGAGATGTGGTCTCGCTGCCCAGGTGTGTCTTAAACCCGCGGGCTCAGGCAATCCACTCACCTCAGCCTCCCAAGGGCGTGGGATTACAGGCTGAGCCACCGAGCCCGCCTCAGCTATCTTTTGTGGCAACCTTCTGCCCTGACTCTTCAGGACTTGGCGGACCTTGAGTGACTTCAGCCATATTGAGTTCGGTTGGTTCATTCGCCAGGCCAATAAGTTGTTTTGTTTTTGTTAATTGTGGTAAAAATACATAACATGTACCATCTTAGCCCTGTTGAAGTAGACTATTCATAGTGTTCACATTGTTATGCAGCACATCTCAAGAACTTTTTCTGTGTCTCTGAAACTCTACCCATTGAAAGACAGCTTCCCATGCCCTCCTCCCTCCAGCTCCTGGCAGCTTCTATTTTACCTTCTGTCTGTGAATTTGACAACTTTAGATCCTTCATACCCTGGAATCATACAGTATTTGCCCTTTTGTGATGGACTGATTCACTCAGCACAATGTCCTTAGAGTTCATCCGTGTTGCAGCACATGATGGGATTGCCTTCCTGTTAGAATAAACATTTTAAGTTTATTCTTCATCTGTCGATGGACATTGAGATTGCTTCTGCTTTTTGGCTGCTGTGAATGGATAGTGCTGCTATGAATGTGGGTGTTCACCGAGCCATACATTTTGGGTGTCACCTCCCAAGGTAGCTGTTAGGATGTCTTCTCAGAGAAGTGGGAATATTTAGCTGAGAAGAGGTTTGGGAGGGTCTGTCAAGTCACATCTCTGGTTTTCCCCTTGCCTTCCCCTTTCTTCCCTCACCCCCTGCCCACCCTCCTTCACTCCCTGCCAGATTCTGGAGCATTTGCTCTGGTGTCACCCATGCTAAGCCCCCTACGTTCTGTCTGGGTGAGAGGTCGTGGGAGGTCTGTGGCACCATTGCGCACGTGGGAAAAGAGGCCCTGCAAGTCGCGGCAGCTTTCCCAGAGCCACCCAGCATTCCAGGAACCAGCGGCTCTCAGAGCGGGGTCTGTGTTCACCGCTGAAGTCTTTCCACGAGAAAATTCCTGGACATACACTTGTATTGCCCAGCTACCAAGGGCGGGAAGAGTCCTGTGGGACAGCCCTGGGCCCTCTCCTGGAAGTAACAGTTTCCTTTGGAAGGAGGCCAAGGCTGGGCGGGGACCCCCCATCACTCAGCCCAGGGGGAAGTGATTGTATTTATTTATGCTGTAGGGTTGGCTGGTCTGGCCTGGGGGATGGGGGAGGCTGGAGAGTGAGAGAGAGAAGTGTGAGTATCTGGCTGGAGTGGCCCAGGGAAGGAAAGCCCCTGCCCTGTCTCTCCCTACTACACATGTGCTCAGTGTGAGAGCCTGGAGCATTGCCATAGGGCAGGTCTATGGGGGTGTCTCCTCCCCTGACACAGGAATGATGTCCCAGGAATATTTCCGTAACCCAAGCCCAGGGGAGAGTCTGGCCTGGGAGTTTCCTCCCTGCTCCACTGAGACACCTGAGCCCCAGGTTTTGCCCCTCCCCCAGGGTGGTGATCATGAGCTCCATCCTGGAGCATATGTGTGCCGATGTGCTACAGCAGACGGCCACGCAGATCAAGTTCCCCTTCACGGGCGTGGACACCATGCCCTACTGGAACCTGCTGCCCCCCAAGCGGCCCATCAAGGAAGTGCTGATGGACATCTTTGCCAAGGTGCTGGAGAAGGGCTGGGTGGACAGCCGCTCCATCCACATCTTCGACACTCTGCTACACATGGGTGGTGTCTACTGGTTTTGCAACAACCTGATTAAGGTACTGGGACCAGATGGGTGTGGGCCAGACATGTGGACCGGGGAGCAGGTATCCTCATACTCAGAGACATCTGAGAAGATGTCTGACAGGTCCAAGCTCAGTCCTGACTCCTGACTCCCTGCATGAGGCCTGGTCAGCCAGGCTTCTGGGAGAGGATAGGGGGATACTGAGACAGGCTCCTTGCCTGAGAGCTGCCTCCTTAGGTAGCTCTGGCCAGAGAGCTGGGCTGGAGTGGCAGGTTGTCAGAGCCCTAGTCTAGGGTCCCCAGCTCCTCATCTGCCCCCTCACTGTCCCAGGAACTCCTAAAGGAGACACGGAAGGAGCACACGCTACGGGCGGTGGAGCTGCTTTACTCCATCTTCTGTCTGGATATGCAGCAAGTGACCCTAGTCCTGCTGGGCCACATCCTGCCTGGCCTGCTCACTGACTCCTCTAAGTGGCACAGCCTCATGGACCCCCCTGGCACAGCCCTTGCCAAGTAGGACTCTCTTCAGAACCTGCCCCGCTCTCATACTCTGTGCCTGGCGTCACCCTGGGAAGCTGGGCTGGAAGACTCCTGTCAGGTGGGGCTTGATGGGTGTGGACGCAGAGCCCCCTCAGGGCCCCTCTGATTGCGTCCCTTTTCCTGGACCCCTTTGCCAGGCTGGCAGTGTGGTGTGCCCTGAGTTCCTACTCCTCTCACAAGGGACAGGCATCTACCCGGCAAAAGAAGAGACACCGCGAAGACATTGAGGTAGGCGCCCTCTGTGTGCACGTTTAGGCAGCGTTCACTGTGTCCTTGTTGGTGAGAGCTGCCTTCCCAGGGAATCAGACATGGCTCCATCTCGGGGGCAGTTGTGTCAGGGCCTGGTCGTCAGGGGTCTTGAAGCCATGACTGCCTTGGGTGGGAGGGTCCTGGAGGGTACTCTCGCCGACCCCCACTTGGGCTGTGGGAGGAAGGCGGGGCCTGAGCCCACCAGCAGTGCTGCCTGAGCCTCTGGGAGCAGGCTCGCCCCGTCGGAGCTCCTCTCCTCCTCCCGGATACCTGGAAATCTGGGGCCTCAGCTGCATAACCGTGATTCTCCTGCCCCCCAGGATTACATCAGTCTCTTCCCCTTGGACGACATGCAGCCGTCAAAGCTGATGCGACTGCTGAGCTCCAATGAGGACGACGCCAACGTCCTCTCGAGCCCGAGTGAGTGTGTGGGTAGGCCCGGGCGCTCCCTTTCCTGGAGACTCTCTCCTCCCGGTGCTGCTGTCCTGCCAGCCCAGCTGCAGGTGCCTTTGCTGCTGGTCACAGGGTGTGACAGGCTTGTGCTGCTGTCCCTAGGGTGCTCTGTCTCCCGGCCCTGGAGAAGAGGCTGCTGCTCCCTCTCCCTGCGAGTTAAAGCTCCTCTGTCAGGCCAGCCCAGCCCACAGTTGTCCCCTCCCCCCTTCCTTACCACAGGGGTGACGGTGACAAGCCACCCAAGTGAGTTCACTGCCTCAAGCACAGCCTGTGCCACTGACTCACCGCCCTGACCTTCCTTCCTTCCCCCGAAACATGCAACATGCCCCGAGAGGCCCGGGCTGGGACTTGGGCTGCTCCCGCACTTCCTGTCTGCGGCGCTCCTCCCCACCTGGACATCCTCTCCTTCCTACTGTCCTCCTGCCAGATATCCCGCCAAGGGCTCTTTCTGTGGCATTTAATTTTTCCTGTTTCCAGAGAGTTCTCTTGAGCCTGGTAGTTTCTCTGGAGCCTTTTAGGGACTGGGGCACCAGCTACACGCTTGAGCAGAAGTTGCTGGGTCTGCCGCCTGTAAGCCCTCTGACTTTAGCTAGGTGCCTAGCAAGCCTCAGCCTCCTCACCTGTGAAGTGGGGGTGCTGGGGGTGTTGCGAGGGTGCAGTTGCCTCCTCCAAGAAGGCACCAGGCCAGCCCGGCCGACCCAGCACCACATGCCATGTTAGCTCTTTCTCATCTCTGCTGGGGCTTCTCTGTGCTCTGGGTCTCAGGATCCCAGGATCCCCTCTGGGCTCTCATGTACCAGTTACCCACCGGGTGATGGTTGGTGAGGGTGTCCTCGGGCAGCAGTCCTGTGTGTGGCAGACTGTGTCCTCAGGGCGCTCACTCCTTCCCACAGCTGACAGGTCCATGAGCAGCTCCCTCTCGGCCTCCCAGCTGCACACGGTCAACATGAGGGACCCTCTGAACCGCGTGCTAGGTGAGCCCCCGCCCCTGCTGAGCTGAAAGGAGCCCTCCTTGCCACATCCCCCCTCTCCGCCATGCCCCTCGGGGCTCCTGGGCTCCTGCAAGTCCCCCTTCCTCCTCCTGCCAACTTTCCTCCGACCTGCCTGGGGCCCTCTCTGCGGGGTCCCTCTCCAGCCCCACCTTCCGGAGTCCAGAGTCCGAGCCCTTCTCCAGCCTCTCACGCGCTCCCTCCGCTCGCCCCCGCACAGCCAACCTGTTCCTGCTCATCTCCTCCATCCTGGGCTCGCGCACCGCCGGCCCCCACACGCAGTTCGTGCAGTGGTTCATGGAGGAGTGTGTGGACTGCCTGGAACAGGGCAGCCGGGGCAGCATCCTGCAGTTCATGCCCTTCACCACCGTGAGTGCCCCCTCCCCGCCGGCGGGCTCAGGGAAGGCCCCTTCCTCCTGGGATGGTGTCCCCCCTGCTACCAGTGAGCAGCCATTCCTCTGTCTGTGGCAGGTATCGGAACTGGTGAAGGTGTCAGCCATGTCCAGCCCCAAGGTGGTCCTGGCCATCACGGACCTCAGCCTGTCCCTGGGCCGCCAGGTGGCTGCCAAAGCCATTGCCGCGCTCTGAGGGGCCCAGCGTGGTCCAGGGTCCAGCTGGGGCATCCTGACTCCGGTGCCTCGGTAGAGGACGGTGAGGAAAGATGAGGCATCGTTGCTCACATCCACGTGATGTAAGAGCTCTTCGTCAGTTTCCAGATTTTTCCCCCCACTCCCAACTTCTGACCTTCAATATGTTTCCCAGTGGCTTTCGTGATTTCCTCTCCCTCTGCCACCCCTGAGGAGTGTGGTCAACCTGGCTCCTCAGCCAGTGACCGCCTGTGTGTGCCTCCCCCGGGCCAGGGGTGGGCCTACCTCTGAGGAACTTTTGAGATGCATAGTATGTAAATATATATATATATATATATATATATATTTTGTAATATGTCCGGGGAATCCACCTCCGCTCACTGTAAATAAAGATCTTCATGGGTCCCTTTGTGACTATAAGTGCTATCGGTATCTGTGCCATCTGGGGCAGGGACAGCGGCTTCTCTCTGTACTCCCTGTGCTTCGGCTGGGGAGAGACTCAGTTCTGCATGGAGGAAGAGGAGGAGGAGGAGGGGAAGGGCAGGGCCCAGGTTCTCGTGTCAGCTCAGCCGGGGAGGCCTGCGGGGTGAGTGCAGCTTCCCTTCCTGAGACCTGGTGGTGAAGTGCCGGCCGCCAGCCTGCTGCCCCCTCCCCCGAAGCTGCCACAGCCTGAAGAACAATGTTTGGCCAAAGGCCCCATGATCTGGGACAGGGTGTCCTGCTCGTCTGTCTCCCAGCTTGGCCCAACCTCACCCAGACTGACGAGCCCAGAATTTGGTCTGTGGCTGCTAGAAAAGGACGGGCACACGTAGAGGAAGGAACTCTTTAATCCTTCTTTGCCTGTTCCACACATCCTCAAGTCCCCAGACCCTGAGACACAGGACCCTGAGCTGTCCAGCGGGCTTTTTTTTTTTTTTTTGGAGTTGGGGTCTCAATCTGTTGCCCAGGCTGTAGTACAGTGGCATGATGGCATGATCACGGCTCACTGCAGCCTCAGCCCCCTGGGTTCAGGTGATCCTTCCACATCAGCCTCCCTAGTAGCTGGGACTATAGGTGTATAACACCTTACCTGCCTAATTTTTTTTTTTATTTTGAGTCAGAGTCTGACTGTCACCCAGACTGGAGTGCAGTGACACACTCACAGCCACCGCAGCCTCACCCTGCTGGGCTCAGGTGATCCTTCTACCTCAGCCTTCCAAGTAGCTGGAATCACACCTGGCTAATTTTTTGATTTGTTGTAGAGACAAGGTCTCACCAAGTTGCCTAGGCTGGTATTGAACCCATTGGCTCAGGTGGTCCTCTTGCCTGCACCTCTCAAAGTGCTGGGATTACAGTCATGATCCACCATGCCTGGCCTTTTTTTTTTTTTTTTGAGTTGGAGTCTCATTGTCGCCCAGACTGGACTGCAGTGGCCGCTCCTGGCCACCGCAGCCTCAACCTGCTGGGCTCCGGTGGTCTTTCCGCCTCAGCCTTCCAAGTAGCTGGAACTACAGGCATGCGCTACCACGCCCGGCTAATTTTTTGATTTGTATTGTAGAGATGAGGTCTTGCCAAGTTGCCCAGGCGGGTCTCGAACTCGTGGGCTCAGGCAATCCACTCACCTCAGCCTCCCAAGGCGCAGGATTACAGGCCGAGCCACCAAGCCTGGCTTCCTTTTTTTATTTATTTAATTTTTAGGGGTATAGGGTCTTACTCTGCCACCCAGACTAGAGTGCAGTGGTGTTCACTGCAGCCTCAACCTCCTGGGCTCGAGCAGTCCTCCTGTCTCAGCCTCCCAAACAGCTAGGACTACAAGCATGCACCACATTCCTGGCTAATTTTTTTTTTTTTTTTTTTTGTAGAGACAGGGTCTTGCTTTTGCCCAGGGTGGTCTCAAACTCCTGACCTCCCGCCTTGGCCTCCCAAAGTGCTGGGCTAATAGGCATGAGCGACCATGCTTGGCCCTCTGACTCTGCTTTCTAAGGAGCGTCATGGAGAAGAAAAGTGGGAGGTGACTGAGGAGCAGAGGACAAGGAAGGCTCTGAGAATGACGGCCTGGGGGCTGGTGAGCCATCTTGACTTCCTGGGGCGGGCGGGGGCACCCTGCGTGACACAGAAGTCTTCGGCTGCAAGGATGCCTCTCACCTGTGCTGTGGACACCAGCCCCGGCCCTCGCCTTGCCAACTTCCCAGCCACCCAGGCTGTGAGCTCAGGCCTCTCCAGCCCACGAGGCTGCCACAAGCGGGAAGGGCAGAGGCCAGGCTGATGAGAGACGTTCTGGGCCCCGTGGTCACCTTGAACTCCGCTTTCTCTTTGTGGGCAGTGGTACCGATGGGCTCGAGTGTATGGAGGGTGGTGACTGGCAAGCCCCGTGCGGATACTCGGCGCTCCCCTGTCAGCCAGGCTGGCCGTGTCTGGGCTGCGAAGCCACCCCACAGCCATGCTCTGTTCTGGGCCCCCATGACCCACGGGGCAGGGACTGCATCTGCCTGGTTGGCTGCTGTGTCCCAGCACCTAGGCCAGAGGCCGAACTGAGCAAGCATCAGATGATGACTGAGATGGGCTCCGATGCACCCCGTGCCTCCTCCGCCCACCCCCAGGCCTCGCCCACCATCCAACCACCTCCCTAGCCCCCAACCGGACACCAGCTGGACACAAGAAGCAGGCAGGACATTCACTGGAGACAAACACTTTATTATCCCAGAGTTGGTTACAGCGAGAAGGTGGGGGTGGAGGGGAGCGGTCTCCCCACTTCTCACACACACCCAATGTGATTCCCCCTCGTCGGTGCCTCCCACGTTCCCAGTCCCAGTCGAGCAAGGCGAATGCCCAGCCACCTGCCCAGCCCTACAAAGAGGGCCCTGACCCTGATGGGGACAGGGCAGGCGACCTGAGGGCACCCAGAAAAATGGGAGGTGATGCCTTGAGCCCTCATGCCGAGAGTCAAAACAGGCCCCAAAGTCTTAGCAAGAAACACTAGATTCCCAAGCACATCCGTGGGACCCTAGGGCCAAGCCTCCCAGTTCTGGGCTGCCTCTGCTTATGCAGGGACTTCACACCCAGGGGAGGGAGGACCTGGTGGGCAGTTGGCCACGGCCAGAGCGAGGGATATGAGGACCCAGTTGGGGAACACTGCTGTTTAAATATTAAACAGGGATGTCTTGTCTCCCACGCGGGAGACCTGATGCTCCCAAGGGTCCCAAGGGGGGAACCCTCAGGGCGGGGGCTCCCTGCGGCTCTCCCCGGGCCGGCGATCCGCCAGGACCAGGGAGCAGTCACAGGAATAAATACTTGGTATTTACCAATCTCCCCCCAGTCCGGGGGACGGGAGGACAGGAGCTTTTCCTCACTGCCACAGGCAGGAGAATGAAACTCGGAGACGGAGGGAAGGATCCAGAAGTCTAGGACCATGTTCTGCTCTTCCCCGTCTTTAAATATTAGGCTTAAATAGGCATAAATATTAAATAGAGATAAATACGCCGAGTGGGGTGGGCTCCACTCAGGGCTGGGCCAGGTAGCGCAGGACGCGGTGGGCCAGCTCCAGGAAGCTCTGCAGGTGCGATGCCACCAGGACGCCTCCTGCCCGGCGCTGGAAGGCGGAGGCGAAAGTTGGCAGGGCACTCTGGGTGGGCTGCAGGGTGGGGGCCACCCCTAGGTCTTCCATCTGCCGGAGGAAAGTTGAGATCAGCGACCGGGCCCTGCCGAGGGGTGTCACCACAAAGGAGGACAGGACAGACTGGGGAAGGTCACGATAACACGCAGCCTGGGCTCGAGCCCAGGTCTGTCCCCAGGTCCCGCGATCCGTCTGCTGCTCTGACTGGCGGGAATGGAGGCAGGCCAGAGAATGGGGTGAGGGCTCCCCGCATGCAGGCCCCCAGGGATGCTCCTTCCCAGACCCAAAAGAGCTTCCGGGATCCTCAGGCCGCAGTGCCCGGCGTGCCAGTGTGGCCTTGGGACCCGACGGCTTGCCCTGCCCCCAGACAGGCTCACCTGGTGCCAGACCGTGGTGGCAAAGTCAGCAACGTCCAGCCGCAGCCCATCCAAGGCGGTGGCCAGCTCGGGGGAGATCCCCCCCAGGGCCTGCAGGAGGCCCTGGTAGAGGAAAAGGCCGCCGTGGAGTTGCCTCAAACAGCCTGTCTGGGGGTGCAGAGCAGGAGGGGAGTCACGAGTGCTTCCTGGGCTGCTCCTCTCAGGCCCCCAGCTTGAGGCCTGGGGGTCTGGGGAGTCCGGCACAGGGTGTGCAAGCATCTTTCCTCTCCTTCCCTCCCGCTCTCCCTCTGGTCCCCTCCCGACACTCACCAACTGCAGGGCCTGGCTGGTGCAGCTGCCCAGGGGAGCCCGGGGGATGCCCAGAGAGTGCCCGAGGAGCACCAGCTCCTCAGGGTGGCACAGCTTGAAGGTGGCACACTGGGGAGGGAAGGCACTGAGTGAGACTCGCCACACCCTCCTGTCCCTCTGTCCTCCCCTCCCTCCGGGTCCATGCGGCTGCCTACTCTGCCCTGTTTCCCACCCCTCTGTTCCCCTGGGAGCCCTCACCCCCAGCGAGTGTGCTGCCTCCGTCCAGCCCCCCAAGCGCTGTCCCCACCCGAAGTCCCTCTCCACGTCCCTTCCCAGCGTTCCCCGGCCCCACCTCCCCTCATTTTCTTCCATGTCTGCCATGTGTCTCTCCCTCTCCCACGGTTCGCTCCCTTTGGCTCGTCCCCTCCCCGTCACCGTCCGTCGGTCACTCACCAGCCTCTCCTGCAGCGCCGTGCCATCGCTCTGAATCTTCCTCGCTTGCTCTAAGCACTTGAGCAGGAAGCTCTGGGGCAGGGAGCTGGCAGGGCCCAGGGGGGTGGCTTCGTGCACCGTCCAGAAAGCACTGTGCCAGAGTAGCAGCTGCAGGGCTGGGGACAAACCGGGCTCAGGGGACGGGCTGTCCACCCCACCTGGGGCCCTCTCTGGGGGCCCTGGGTGGCCTCGGTCCCCATTCGCAGGACAGGGATCCCAGCCCCTCTGCCACGCCCGCCTTCCTCCCACCTCCAGGGCGGGCAGCTCTCCAGCCCGGGCCACGACACTCACCCATCAGCTTCACGGGGCTCTGGGCAGCAGGTACGGCCATGGGGCAGGGTGGGGCTGGGCCGTGGGCGCTGGGCTCTGGGCTCTGTGGGGCCTGGCTCTGGCTTTATACATCGCCCCATGGAGCCTTGGGAGGAAATTACCTGGGGCTGCAACTAAGGCTTAGTAATAACTTCCCAGGATTTATGCAAATTTGGTGTGTCCAGGACAATGCAGGGGGGCTGGGACCAAAAGCTGTTTGCGAAAGTTTTGTGAAATTGTGGAATCTTTGATTCTCCCTTGACGTCTTGTCTCCCCCAAACTCCCTTCCCCCCCCGCCCCACCCCGGCCTGATTGGCCCCAGAGTGTTTGAACAGAACACAGGCTGACAGAAGCCATGGAGGCTGGAGACCGGAGGCCGGTCAGACTCGTGGGCAGAGGCGGGCCCTCGGACGGGGCCTCCCTTCCTTCTCCGGCAGACATGCTGGGGAGCCTCCCTTGCCCCTCTCCTTTGAGTGCGTGCCTGCACCCAGACCCCCAAATTCTAAGAGAGAAGGGAGAAGTCAGTGGTCCCCCATTCCTCCCTCCCAGACTTCCCGGAGGCTGCCCTCCCGAGTCACTTTCTGAGGGCCCCTAGCCTGAGATAGAGGCACTGGGGTCTTGGCCACTGTCCCCACCCCACACTTGGATAGGCACCATCGAAAGTTCCAGGCTGTCCTGTCTGCCGTTGATTAGCTGGGAACTCCCCAATACCACCCCCCACATGACTCATTCCTTTAAGCCCCTGGAATCCCTCCCGGTAGAGGCCAGAGGAAACCGGATGTCTGCCTTGAATGTAGCAAGAACTTCGGGGCTCTTGGTTCACCTTGCCCTTCCACCTCTTCGACTGCTACCCCAGCTGCCGAGTCCTCCAGGCTCTGGAATCGAGGGACCAGGACCGGGGCTTCCCTGGCCATTCACTGTTCCAGGGAAGAGGCTGCCGGCCAGGGTGTGGGCTGCCCCGAAGGGGAAACAAGCTGGGGGAGGGAAAGCGGAGCCGCCCCTGTCTTGTCTTCACATTCTAGGACCACGCGGCGCTAGCGCTGGAAGAAACCTCGGGTCTGTTCCAACCCTGTGAACTAGGCCAGGGAAGGGAGTGCCTTGCCCAAGGTCATGGTTAGCAGAGTCAGAGTGACAACCTGGGTCTGAGCCTCGGGCCTGAGAGTTTTCCACAGGGCTTGGGGGCCGCCCGGGGCAGTCTGAACTGACCACACCCCAGGCTGTCACCTTCTGTCCCAATTAATCCTCCAGCCTGCCAAGGAACAGAGACATCTTTGGATGAGAAGAGGATGTGGCTGACTGGGTAGGGCCATCTCCGGGGCTGGGGTGCCCCCTGGTGGTCACTGCTGGCAGCGCCGTCACCTGCTGATCTGTTTACATACTGCTGTCTGGTGACCTTGGCCTGAACACACAGCCCCCAACCTTGCCGGGCGATTCATCACCACACACTGATGGAGTCCAGCCCTGTGCCCAACTCTCTGGGAGTAGACGGTGACTGGAGCCGGGCTCGGTGGCTCAGCCTGTAATCCCGCGCTTTGGGAGGCTGAGGTGAGTGGATTGCCTGAGCCTGCGGGTTC